GAGGCCCCAAAGGAAGATGAGATGTGGGAGAAAGCTTTATTTGCATGGGATTACATCCCTCATGTTGCAAACTCTCATTACCCTTAGTCTAGTCCTTGAAGGGTCTTCAGCAGAGTTAGAAGCAAAGTGAGAGTCCAGAGTTTCCTTTCCATGGTGGAGCTGGGTCCAGTGTAGCATCAGGCAAGTCACAGTCCATCAGTCCATTGTGGGCCAGTGCAGAGGAGGACACCCCTGCAACAAGAGAGCCAGGAGCCCAGGGGCACAAGAGAGAGGAAACTCCTTTTTTGAGGAGTTTAAATTTTTGAAATCTTCCTGTGCTTGCAGTGGCCACACCTACTCTGACCAATGACCTGCTCCCAGGTGTGACTGACAAACAAGTCAGTACTTTCCCTCTTTCATGGGCAAACATCTATTTGGCCTTCCGTTTGCTCCTTCCCTGTTAATCAATAATCGGTTATTTATAATGGTGTCAACATGACCTCTTACCCAAAATATTTGAGTCTTGTGCCTTCTAATAGAAAAAAATAAGTACAATAGAAAGATAAATTAACACAAGCTGATATTTTTATTGGGCTCTAGTTTCCATCTGGAAATATACCTCCATTTTGAATTAATCAAATACTTCTCTTTCTTTTTCTATATAGATATATCTTCTTATTACCAAACTGACCAAAAAAGTATACTTATCTCCATGTCATGTGTTTTTAATAATCCTAGATATTTGTTTCAGACTTCCAGTTCTAAACTTTCATATTGAAATGCTATCAATTAAAAGATAAAATTCTGCCTTGGCTAGTGTGGCTCAGTTACTTGGAGCATCATACACTGAAAGGGTGCAAATTCAGGTTCAATTCCTGACCAGGGCAATATCAAGGTTGCAAGCTCAGTCCCTGGTTAAGGAGCATATGAGAGGCAACCAATCAAGTTTCTATGTCTCCTTTCCTCCCTCTATAATCAATAAACATATCATTGGGTGAGGACTTTAAAATTTTTCTTAAAGATAAAATTATATTTTGGCTTAATTTAAAAAAAATTTTTTTTCTAGCTCACTGAGATGTTAACACTGAGTTAACTTTTTAGAGCTGATGCCTTGAGAATGTTTTGGGTTGAGTTGTTCAGTGCTGCATGAATGTTAGTCTAAATACTTGTTCTAACTTTGCCTTCTTCTCTGTCTGGTTCAATTATACCTCAGAATAATGGGCCATTGTAAATGTTGCTTTTGAGTAGATTAAAGTTATAAAACAGAGCTGAGCTGATCAGATTTTGACACTGGCTTTTGAACATTACAATGCTTTCCCACCTTAAAAAATTCCCCACATGGATATTCCTACATGTAACCTACAGTTATGCTCCCCAGAGTGTAAAATCATTTTTTGAAGAAACAGGTTGATTTACTTTTTAAAAACCCAGTCATTAATATTTAGTAACATGAAGTTCCTTTTTGCAAGTGAATAATCAATAATCCTCTTTTAAAATACATTTTTAAGTTGAAATTTGTCTTTCTGAGCTTTCTTAAATTATGGACCTTTTACATGAGATTTCAAATTTTCCTTACTTGATCATCTCTAGAAATGACTGACTTCTAAACCCATCTCCCAACCCCTGCCCTGGGAACCAATTCTATTTTTCAAGTTTCCAATTTAGCATCTCCTTCAATCATACATTCATTTGTGCTAACCTAAATGATTGGTGTATGTCAGTAAATTGTGCATTTTCTCTCTCATTCTCCCCCTCTTCTTTTCCTTCTCTCTCCTATGAGTCATAATTTCAGTAGAATCACAATAGAGAGTTCAGAACCTCTCGCCCACACCTCACTGTAAGCTAAAGAAACCAGGAGACAGCTTTCTCTTGTAAATGTCAAGTGTTCACCATGTCTCCTTTGGAGGCTGAATAGAAATGTAACCTTAGCAAAGTTAAGTCCCTGGATCTGGGCAAAGCTGAGAGCACAGGCACACCTCATTATAGTGTGCTTTGCTTTACTGCAGTTCACAGGTGTTGTATTGCATTTTTGTTTGTTGTTGTTTTTTTTGTTTTTTACAAATTGAAGTTAAGACCCTCTAATGGAAAGATTACAACTTGCTTTATTGTGCTGGTTTTGAGTCACACTCCCAGTATATCCAAGGTATGCCTTTATTCCGAGTCCAAAGTTGACTTTTGACTGCCTACAAGGGCATATAATTGGTTGTTTTAGCTTCCTCTTTTGTCCAATTTTACTCTCTGCAACACCAACTTTGTGTCTAATTTATTCTAACCTTGTAGGAAAACACACAACAGCGGGAGATTTTCATGTTAGAAGGGAGGAGTCTAGTGGTCTTCCTTCCAAGACTTCTCAAATGTAGCTTCTCTTAATAATCCAAAAGGTCCCACTCCACAGTGTACTTGTTACCAGTTCTGCTTGGTCAACAAAGTTGTGCGAAGGTTGAGAAAACCCACTAGAGGGCTTGTCTTTGACTAACATTATGCCTTTCATGAGCAAATCTCAAGTATTGTGCCTTACTGAGTAAAGGCCTTACTGAGGTTTGGGAGGGAGGATTCCAACCAGAAATAAGCTCAGAAATCTAACCAAAGGTTTATGTTTGTTGTTTGTTTTGTTTTTGCTGATGGGATTATTTTGCTACACTCAGATTGACAGAGAGGAATGCATTTAGACAGATTGGCCTGATTTGGGCTGAAGATTTGACCAAGCAATTAAAGGCAGGAAGAGGAAGGAAGGCCAGGAAAAAGGGAGGAGGCTGAAATCAAATGTGCGCCCTTTATTTCCTGAAAGCAGCTCACAATTATAATTACCCACCTTGCTTTGCAGCTCAGAATAAAAGTGGCCTTGCACTAAACCCCTACCCAGGCAACTGTCGTGATTAAAAAGTACTGCACACCTTGGAGAACTGAGGAGACATGAGCATAATTTTAAATGCAAATTAAATTGAGGGGGTAGAGGAGAGAACACATAAAAGACAGTAAAACAAAACCTTTCAATTTTCTTAAATTAGCAGCCTAATGTGTTTTAAAGAACAGCTCCACTCAGATCTCTTTTAGGGGTTGCATTTCATCACAATATAAAATGGGCAAATCCATCACATTGTTCTGCTCAGTGTTCCTGAACTGGGATTGAAGGGAAAATTAGAAGCTGTTCCTTTGGGCGTGCAGGCTCAGCATCCTGCATAGCTCTGCTTTACGCTCTGAGGTATCCTGTTGAAAGGGGCCAACAAGTGCTGGTGAGTACCTGCTAACTTTAATACTCTTCCTTTCATACATCTTTTTGGCTTTCTTTTCTTTTGGTGGGGGGTGGGAGGAATTTCACAAAAGACTTAAGATATAATTCGTCTTTTAAAAGCTAGGAAATTTCAAACAGCTTTTTAAGCGTCTTCCCGTGACTGATTCACAGAAGGCAAGAGAGTTATTTTCAGCCTAGATGCCGATGGCTGATCTTTGAAATTATTATAGCAGGAGAATGTTTAACATGAGCTAGCTAAAAATGACCTGTCCCTATCACCCTAGGCAGCATTACAGTAAGAACTGGTGCCCCTAACGATTTCTAGACCACTTTCTTATCATATTAACTATTTAATCATGTAATTCTGTTTTAATTTCAAGTCCAACTGGGACTTGGAGCTATATAAACATATTAAATCCAAACCATTTTTTAAATGACTAAGACACTTCTCTGCAAAAGAGATGGGCGGGGATAGGGAGATGCAGAATGGACCCACGTGATGGTTACATATAGATTTTAATGGGGATGGTTTTCTGCCAAAGTTTTACACAGGAAACCGGTCATTTTCTCCTTTCACAATAGAGGATACAAAGAGACGGAGGCTGGCGTCACCTTCTGTTGCTAAGGTAACGTGCTTTGGCCATTTTATCTGATAAAACAAGTCCAGTGGACAGTATACATTATTCATTGCTGTAATAAGCAAACAATCAAAATTGTTTACTTCCACTGGGAATATTTAGTGAGATCAAAGGCTCTCTGGCTGAAATTGCTCCTGCTTTTATTGCCGGCAGTTAGCCCTTGATTTTCCTTTTCTTTCTGCAGTAAGTATGATTTGCTGTTGGGGTACCTTTGGGTATTTGTTAAAGTTTCCTCTTACCGGACTAGGAAGAGAAATAGCTGGATTAGCCTTATGAACTTGATTTTAATGACTCTGCCTTGTTGATTCTTTCCTAAAGCATCCTGCAGAAATAGAGTAGTTCATCAGTGCAAGTGTCAGGGAAAGGCTACAAATGCTGGAAAGCACCACTGGGCTGAATGTTTTGTAGTGAAGTGGATTAGCTTCCTGACAGGCTAGTGCATGATAATATTAAGGGGATCGTTATGATTCTGAAATAATTGTCACTGCTCTACAGACCAGAATTCTTTCTTAACAGCAGCCCATGCCAGGGGTGAGCAGGTAATAATGCTGTAGCACTTTGTAAAATGTACCGAGGGAATGGCTATAAAGGAAGGGGCTCAAGGTGTTTTACAGCTAACATGTCAGCATGTGTCATAAATGCAAAGCATCTGTATGTGGAGGCTCTGATTCCAGGCAAGTCTTGCTGCTCCAGGGGAATCGGAGCTCACTGGATTAACTGAGGATCAGTACTACGAAAGGCTGACACTTAATGAAGCCATTTATCAGACAGGCTTTTAGAAAATGGATAGCATATGAACTTAACAGTATCTTTTCCAGTTAATATGCAACAAGGAAAGACTGGTATGTTATCTCTCTTTAGCCTGGATCGTCTGTTTTTCCTGAGTGGGACAGATGACTTTAAATGAATGTTGGTTAAATGTAGTATTTTCTCACACAATAGAAAAGCTATGTTGAAGGGTGTTTATAGAATTGGCTATCAGTCAAATAATGGGATATTCAAATGAGATCATTTATATATATATATATATAAATGCATACTTGAGATTTTTAAAATCTATTTAACAGTTTAAAATATGGTGATTTTTTTCCCCTCTTTCATAGGCAAACAGATGACTATTGTGTCTTAAAACTGTTTTTGAAACATCAAGGATGGATTATCCCAAAATGGATTATTTTCTGGATGTGGAGTCTGCTCATAGACTCTTGGATGTCGAGTCGGCTCAGAGATTCTTGGATGTTGAGTCGGCTCAGAGATTCTTCTACAGTCAAGGAGCTCAAGGTAATACATACAATGGGAGAAAGGGAGGAAAGCATAAGTTTGAAAGGCACCAGGGATGTTCCCCCTCTTCCTCCCGCCGCCCCCCACACACCTCTGATATGGCTGAGTTTACAGGCTCTGCAGAGATCTAGGGCACCCTGACCTAACTGACTGAAATTCAGCTGCGATAGAGGCTCCTGAGCTAAGTCTCAAGTCTTGCAGCTACTGTGTCTGTTTTAGAAGGATGCAGCCACTGCCTCAAGGAATGACCAGTGCCCTTTGGGGGAGTAGGGAACATACCTGTTGTGAAGTGCTACTGATATGCACATTTTTATTACATGCTTCAAGATGGTCAGTTAGACTCCAGCTTACTTGCTCTCCTGTTTAAGGGTGCAGTTAGAATGTTTTTCCACCACATTTCATATGTTTTCTTTTCCATGGAATACTTAGGGTATTCACTCAAAGCAAACCCGATGATGAGCATATCCCAAATGGTGCAACGGATGCTCTGAGGAGAAGGGCAATGCCTTAATAGAAATTCTTGGAAGTCACAAGCAGAGCTGAGAGGGAAATGCTGTTTGATAATGCTGGCTTGTCTCACGTTTAGGTTGTGAAGTACTTCACACAGAGCACTGGTAATATTCTGCCCTGGCTTTTCCAGGGCTCTCTTCTAAATTGATTTTACCTGGCTCTCAAGCCAATTTCTCATGGCAGCCTTGAGGGCTTGTGAGATTCTTTCTTCTCTGTTTTATTTTTCTGGGCATGATCCAGTCTTCTTAAAGTCAAGAGGGCTTAAAATTTATCTGGTTTATCTGTTTGTGTCAGTGCACTCATCAGCAGGGCCTAAATTCACAAAAATGATATAATAGCTAACTGTTCATTCCTCTGCTGTAAGTAATTAGCATTGCTACTCTCAACCCCTTAAAAAAAAACATGCAGATGTTACTGAGGTAAGGAAAGGGTTCGAGACTGGCCAGGACCTTCAGCCTCCTCTGGGTCTGCAAGTCAGAAGATGCTAGAAGGGGATGGAGAATGGAAGACTGAAGGGAAAGGGGTCTGAGCAGGGCTCAATGCCACCTCCAGACCCCAGGTAAACATTGCTGGGTCTGGTCTATTCAATGAGCATGAGAGAATAATGTTCAAGGTGGAGTCACCCACCTGAACTGCATAACTGTTGGCAGGAAGAGGAGGAGAATGGCAGTTAATTGAAGATAATAAATGTGTCCACTTTGCCTTGCAGTTTTAGGATTTAAGGAGACTAAGCTGTGGGTTTTTACGGAAGGAAAAAAGGCAGGATGTGGGAGTCTCAGAGGATCTCCAGGCAGCCTGGTGGTTGTTGGCAGATGGAGCTGGGGGTGGAGTGGTCAGAATTGTCACCATCAGTAACTGGTTTAGCACCGGAGTTGAAATGACTAGAAAATGTATGGGAAGTGGTAGCATAAGCTACTGCTGCTTTCAGATATCACATTCATTTTAGCGTAATCAGAATGATGTTTCAAGCAAAGAAATTTGGACTTGTAATAAGGGTGTGGGTTCCATAAACATCATCTAGATCTATTTCCAAAAATCCTGGATTTCCTGAGTCAGAAATCCAGGTGTAAAGTTTAGGAGTTTGAATTTGAAGCAAGAGCTCCAATGATGATGACCAAGGCAGCACATTTAAGAAGCAATTCCATCCAGTCCAGCTTCTCTCTTTTCATCCAGAGCAGGAACACTCTCCTGTCTTAGTGGCAGGGTAATGTCATGGTCCAGGACAACAGCCTGGACCCTGACAGCCCAGGTTCAAATCTCGGGTCTGCCACGGTGATGTGGGGCCAATTAACCTCTTCTGCAAATAACAGTGCCTAACTTATAAGTTCTTAAGTGTATTAATGAGGTAAGATTTTAAGGTGCATAAAACAATTTTTGCAACATAGGGAATGTTATACAAAAGCAAATAAATAAAATAACCATCTCTGGCAAAAGGCCATCTCTGCCCTGTTTGAAATGTCACAAGGAAGCCACTGCCTTTCAAACAAATGTGGCCTGGCAGGAGTTTCACTTTTTATTTTGAGTAAAGGTTTTTTTAAGTAAATGTTAAAACACATTGATCATTTTTCTGCCTCATCAAAACATAACTTAGAGAAAAACTAAAAAATGGTAATATTCTATCTTGGTACTCACCATCTACTTAGTCCTTCTTTCACTGAAAAAGCCCCTTTTCCTTCTAACACCTCATCCAGAGCCTCACCACCTAGGTCTGGGCACCCTCAGAGTCTCCGTTCCAGGCCCCTGTGGTCTCTATATTGCAGTTGGTCACTGCACTCTCCAGCCCCTCTACATCAGCTTCCTTCCACTCCACACAGATTTCACCCTGGATAACAAGCCCCGTGGCCTGATGAATGGCTCCAAGTGAATGGGCAGAGGCCTGGGGACCGTGGCTTGAACCCCTGTCTTTCTGACCCAAATGTCCATGCTTTAGGGCAATGGCTAACACCCACTTCTTACCACTGGCAATGCTCTGAGGACCAAGTGAAGGGGGGCAGCATGGTGGCTGGCTCTTGAGAAAGGCATTTGAGGCCATTGGGGCCTTGTGCTGCTGCTGAATCACAGCCTGTGGTGCTCTCTCCTTAGTCAGCCCCACCCAGGAACAGAGGGACGTCCATAAGGCCAAGTAGCCCCATTGTGGGTGACCTAGGATGTGATCAGCTAAACTAGACTGTGATTATTATCTTTTGAGTTGTCTTTTCTAGAGCTCATGCAAATATTTCTACAGATTGGTCAAGTGTTTTTACACATACAAATACTTCTAAAGGTAAAAACAAGAAAATATGAATTTCATTTCCCATATTACCATTCCTGTACCAATTTATTTACAAATTCATACACTTCTTGGAAACCAATTGCTTTTTTATTAATTACATGCAAAATGATTATCCAAAGCAACAGTAACAGAATTGTAATGTTTTAGACCCTATTATAATTTTTCAATTATTCTTGTAAAGTGGTAAGTGCCGATCCCTAAGAAGAGGCTGTTTCTAGCTAGTAAGAGCAAGAGGAATCCAGGAGGTGAGAATAAAAAAGAAGGAAAAGGCTATTCATTCTATCATGAGACAGATTCTCTTGGGTGTCCAGAGATTTTCAAGTCAGTCATCTGCATTGCTGAGTATCATAGCTTATTATTATTATATCTCCCACCTTCACTTTTCCTTGATCTTGATGAGCCCATGTCTCCAGGGATTCTGCTTTGAAGCATGCTATGTCACAGAGAACAGAAAAAAGCCTAAGTCCCTTGTGCAGCCCCTTGATGAAGGATGCTCTCCCGATTAGTCCACAGTAAATCCTGCTCACACAGAAGGGGTTCTTTGAATGTCCCCATTAACTCCAGAGGAGATTCTGGAGGTAGAAAGTACACAGGACATAAAGATCAGCCATATGTTGACATCACATCACCTGAGCTCATCCATCTGTCAGGTTCTGACAATGATATCTCACATACTCAGCTTCAGGTCCTAATTTACTTTACTGAGCAATTGAACTGGGAGGGGAGTCATACTATAAAAATCACAAAATTAGCATCATGGCATTTTCAGGTTGAAATGGACATTTTGGATCAGTGATTCTCTCAGCCCCTCCCTAAACCAAAGTGAAATAGAATCTGTGAGGACTGGGCCCAGGTCCCAGTGCCGCGTTTTTCAGCAAGCGCTGTGTTATCCTGATGAGCGCTGACCTTTGAGAACTACTGTTGTGGATCATTAATCACTTATTACTCAGAGTGCAGTCCCAGGCTAGCAGCATCAGCTTCAGCTGCCAACTGGTTATAAATGCAGAATCTCAGGCCCCACCCCAGACCTAGAGAAGCATTATCTGCATTTTAACAAGGTTACCAGGTAATTTATGTAAGTCAGAGAAGCAAAGATAGAGTCCAGTGCATGCTAGAAACAGCTGGCAAGCTTTTATGATCTCAAGGTTGGAGTCCCACAGCAGACCAATCCACTCAGTCTTTGGAGGAGAGCCCTGAACCTGAGGATGTTTTTAATTGTCTTCAGTGATTCAAATGTGCAAAGAGGGCTGAGAACTGCTGACCTCCCATTTTATGGAAAAGAAGGTTTTAGCATATCATGCAGATATTCTTACCTGAATATTTTTATCTTCCAGGACTTTTCTTATAAATGAATGCAAGCTATTGGAAAGATTCAAATTGAGTTGTTTTTTTTTTTTTTTTTTTTTTTTTTTTTTTTTTTTTTTTTTTTAAAAAGGATTGGACTATGTATTTGTTCTGCACTATTTATTGTGTCCATTAATCCAGAAATACATTTTGGGAAAGAGGAATTATGATACTCATTTTTCAGATTAGAAAAGACTATACATTTAAAGAGGAGCATAGCCAGGATTTGAATACAAGTACAGTAAATCCAATTCCAACAACCCCACAGGAACTGAAGGCAACATTCATGACTGAATTACAGGACTGGGGAGGCTGAAGCTCAGAGTGGTTTGGCCACATGCCCAAATCACACAGCATATAATGAGAAGGTGAAAACTAGAACCAGATCTCGTCTTACCACACACATATATGCCCTTCCCACTGAGCTAAGTTTCTCTTTTAAAAGACCATAAAAAACCTTAGACATTTCAAGAAGGAAAATACATTAAAAGAGGTCAAATTTATGACTCGTGCTCACAGTCCTTATCATTTTAAATAATTCTTGGCATTAGAATCAAGTGCTATAGTCATTGTGATTTCATCAAAATACATGTTTTCTATCATCTCTATTGTCTTGTTCAACAAAGAAAAATGCCAGTTTTGACAACTGATGAATGCCACAGTGAGCAGCTAAGAGTCTCTTCGAGTTGCATTTGGAAGCAGAGAAAAATTCCTCTAAACCCCGCTTCTCAACCATTTTCCCCCACTCTCCAACTGCCTCCCAGCTCTACCTTTAACCCATGCTGTGAAATCTGTCAGAACAGCTGGTTTTTCCATCTTTAGCTTTGACTTCAATGTATTCTAAAGCTAAACTGTAAACCTCGGGACTTCTTAA